TCTCATAGACGGTATCATAACCCGAGTTTAGTACTTTAGTATGTGAGTTGAAAAAAAATGTTAAGCTTATGTGTGGTAAAGAAGATAATAATAAAATGGTGTAAAAAGGTCTAAAGATTTGACATAACAGATCTATAAGTCGAGAAAAGAAACAATTAATACCTCGTATAAAAAGAGAATTGTGATTGTAAAATAATGTATGTCGTGTCATTCAAAATGTATATATATCATCGGAAGAGAGCATGGTCGGATATGCAATGTGTTCATTGAAAATGAATTGAGCCTAGTGATTGACCACATTATGAGGTCTGAAGAATACTTGTTTTGCTTGTCTCATAAATTACAATGTCAAATCCGAAACTGTAGAATGCATTTCATATATAAAAAAGAATACCAATAAAGAGTCTAGTCTAACAATGGACTAATACACAGTGGTAGTTATCAGCACTGTTAGTTTATCCTCAAAATCATAGCAAACAAAGCTAAGAACATTAATTTACTTTCCAAAACATATGAGTTCATTGGCACAGAATATCAATTTGGTACAACAATACTTTCAATCACATTTTTCATTTCTTTGCTTTAGTTTTATTTCTAATCACTAAAACAAAGTTACCCTAGCAAATAACTTATACACAGAGTATCCAAAAACACTAAAGACGATGATGCTCTGAGACAAACATCCACCCAAGATAGACACTAAACTTGTGGTTGTGCATGAACCTTCCTCAAGATCTACCATTAGGACCAGAAGCAGCCATGGCTACTTTCTCGGACCTGAGGCTGGAACTTGCTTCTGAAGTGTTCTCATCAGAGGCTTCCTCCTCCTCTTCCTCCTTGTGGTCTCCATTTTTCTTCTTGGCATTGAGAAACCGTCCGCCACATCCTCTTGGCCGTCTTATCGCATGTAAATGCCGAGATTCATGCATGTATGGCTGAAAACAAGAAATAAGAACATATTGATAAGGAATCTACCAAACAAATTACAGGTTTTACCCGCCAGGATTTTACCTTCTTTGCCTTGATGGCTCTGTTTCGTGCCTCAAGTTTTGCACGGGATTGCCTACGCCTGAGTATACCGTGGTATTGCTTTGCGTTAACAAAAACAGGTTCCTCGACTGCATCGCATTGCAATGGAACTCCTGGCTGCTGCATTCCCATTAACTGCAATTGGACCTGAAAAAAAAACTTGAAAAATAAAACAAAAGCTTTTCTATATATTTCGAACCCGAGACATCGGGGCTGAGTAATAATACATACCCCAGGATAGGGATGTGGAAGATATGCTTGCTGTGAAAAGATGCTTCTGTAGTAAGGATCTGGATACGGGTATAGCCCATGTGCCTTCAATATCAACATACACAAAAACAAAAACCATATTATCTCAATTCTCAATTAGATAAGGTTGAAAAGCTTAGTATTACACTGGCATCTCAAGTCTGTTTTTCAAAGCAAACAAAGTTAACATTCGTACGAAGTCTAAAACTGCAGAAAGGCGATGATCACGGGACTTTCTTGTTTGAATTATCTCAAACAATCAGATTTTGACATTGTAAGCATCAAAACAAAAGCTTGTAGCATTGAAAAAGAGTGATGTTATGAACAAAGGTAGGAGAATCACAATCAAACATCTTATAAATGAAAGCAAGATCAGACGAAACTAAACCAAACATCTTATAACCAAAAGCAAGATCACATTCTTGAGAATTTGGCTGAGAGAAATTACCATGGGCTCTGAGTAGACAGAGTTTGTATCAATAGATTCCGAACTTCGTCCTGAAGGAACCTGTGGTCCGGTTTGGGAATCTGGACGTTCTTTCTTCCCATGACTTTCATTGTTATCTGGACATACCACCAAGAATCAGTTAGGAAGATAAAACATTAAAACGAGAGCATAATGGAATTGGTCAGAAAGAGAGACAAAACCAGAGAGCTCATGTACTGAAGAAGTCATGAATCATGAGAAGACTGTCCTAGTTACAAGTCTGAGTAACAATCAACTGAAACAACAACAAAGCTCAAAAGTCAGAATTCACAAAAACCAAAACCCCAAAATCATAAAACGAGATTCCAGTCAGTTTTCGAAGAATTCAATCACAACCCTATAATCTAAACCAAAGCCAGAACATAAAAAAGCCAATCTTAACCTCTAATATCACAACTTACAACACAGCAAAAGCATTTTCCAGGAAACGAGATACAGAACCAAAAAAAGATACAACTTTGAAAATCTGGTGGGAAAAAGACAAAAGAATTTACCTGAATTTATAAAAATATTAAGCTGATTCAATCAATCTCTGGATCTTACCCTCAGAAAATCGTTAAAGGTCTCTCCTTTTTTTGTTCTTAACTAAGGAAGAGACGAAATGACTAACAGAGGCCTAAAGAGCGGACACACCATGTCGTTTTTCAGTTCATAGCCTCCTACACTTCAGAGCGTCCTTCTCTAATACTAATAAACACCATGCCGTTTTTATGTTTTCCACTCACACTGTTGCGATAGGTCAACTCGGAACCACGAAAATGAGTAGGAGTGGAAAACGACACGATGTGCAATAGTGAAAAGGATGCAATACAATGAGGACAAGTGGCGCAACAGCGATCGAGATTTATAGGTAAGTACGGGCAGATCTGAAAAGGTGCCCGAATATGTTCTCGTTTGCTCGACTCCACTAGTTTTGCTTGACCCTACTTGTGCCCGTTGCCCTCACATACATCTTTCGTTGTGACTCATCAAAGAAGCGTCGGTATCGAAACCGACGATTCCGTTCGCTTTTGGTTTTGTTCGAATTTCAGAGACATTTAACCAGCTTTGGTATTTGGGTTTAGATTGGTTTGACTTCGGTTCAGAGACAAAACAAAACCTTCCTTCCTAAACGAATGAGTTACTCATATAAAAAAGCAGTAAACCTTCCATAGAGTTTCATAATAAATTTCCTAAAATGTAGTTGCTAATTGCTACTTGTTTAACTCGAAAATATTTGAAAACTATCACTTATGTGTAACGCCTTTGATCACTTATCCGAGGTCAGTTATTTTTAGCCTTATATCATCTAAAATTCTAAATAATCATAGACGCGACTATGATACTTTCATTAGACATAAAACATTGTCAAATTAGGCTTAAAATCATTAAGAGACGTCTTTGACTCTTCTTTGCAATGAAAATAAGTGTATACGTAGTACAAGTATTCAAAAGACGGATTACATAATATCTCTTGGCTAACCTTATAGCAATACAAATTTTAAGGTAATTAAATACATCATAAACCATATGCTTGCAAGGACACATGAAAACATCATAAACCACACGTTTTGGCATTGCTCCTCGAGTTTTCTACATGGAAACATTCAAGCACAGATGGTCGTAAGCAATCAAACGCGTACTCGCACAACAAACAATAACATGCATTTTTAAATATACTAATTTATTGTGTAAGTAATATATACTTTACAACACAATCTATAATTTTACCGTGTGCATAGTATATAGTTCAAAATCAAGTAAGCTTTTTTTTTTTTTTTTTTTTTTTATCAAGTAAGCTTTCAACAAGTAAGAAACGTATAACGTAAATGTAGTGAGTGAGCAGTCATTAAACAACAAATTAGCGTTTAGGAAATGGATGAACTAGTAAACATGATTAATAACACAAGTAAATAATCATGATTACTTAATCACATATATATAGATAATCTATAGTCTGCTTTCATCTCTAAACTCCTTATCAGATACTCATCCGGATTCCTGATTCGTCACCTGTCTTTTTTTTTGGTTGATGTCTTGAGTTGTAAATCATAAATATTCAACCGCAAGTGCAAGTAAAAGTTTTAGATTATAAAGAACGATATAAGTTAACAAGGCTTCACCCCAACCATCATAGTCTAGTCTAACCCATGATGATCCAACATAAATTAATACAACTTAAACATATTAGAAGCAAAAGAAAAATTATAGAGATGAGACACAATTCATAATTTGGATAGAAAGATAAGGATGATAGGTTCTTTTCTAATTGTGAATTAAATATATTAATTTTTATCAACGGGTATTAAAAAAATCTTGATTCAAATAGATTAGAGAGATATTAAAACTTAGATTTACAAATAGTACCTCTTGTTATAGTTGTCATATAAATTTTTCTTTTTCGACATCAATCATATTAATTGTCAAAATGTAGCTGTCTTACCAAAAATGGATCCAGACTAGAAACACTGAAATTAATGAATCGAATGTCCCAACTCCCAACCATACTAAGTCATATATATACTCACATACACAAATAAAGTTTTCTAAGAACGACATGTTGACTGCAAAATGAAAAGTAATAGACGACCCAAAAAGTTAAGACTTCCAAAACAGAGGCTATGAGTGTGAACCGCTGGATTGGTTTAAGTCTGATCTTTTATTAGTTCTTTGAAAAGAATCCTGATTAATTTAATTATGGGATTAGGTGGATTGGACCATACAAATGATTTTGAATTAGGTAGAACCTTAATGATTATGAGATCAACTCATTAGTTCTTTCCACTTTTTTTTGTCTAATGAATCTATACTTAATTTCATGAAATAAATATTAGAATTATTTTAATCATACGAGTCAACCATTAAAATTTAGTTAACCCAAATCAATGAAAATAGTGAACTATACAATTAACGAAACTAGGCTCTTTCCAACTCACAAAACATAAAAATCCATAATAAACTGGATTAGTTGGATTGATGAGCTTGACCCACTTGAAAACACTACTAATTATATAAAAATGTGTGCATGAAAAAATAAGCCTCGTCAACAAATGTTAGCAGAAATAATGTTAATACTTTAGAGTTTAGATAGAGCCAAACACAGATTATATACATACACATGTGTACATCTGTTGTATATCATCAAAAAAGGTATAATGACAAAAGAGGGGTAATATCGTAAAATCAAGTAAAGGAGCTGGGCATAAGCTTTGTTCTCGAGTCTCCCGCTCCGCTCTTCTCAGGTGTAGCGCCTCTTCTACTTTCTCTCTGCGTTTTCTTCGGAAACCCTAAAACTCTTGAAGAAGAAGAAGAAAGACTCACCGTTAAATTAGCTCTTCTCGAGGTCAAATCTTCACTTTATCCAGATAAATTCAGCTACTTCTTGTAAGTTTGCTTCTCCCTTATAGGATTTGTTATCTCAATTCATTAGCTGGGATTAGCTTAATTGGTCACCAGGAAGAATTTGATACCTTTTATATAGTTTATTGCAAAGCTTTGATTTTTCATTGAATTCATGGGAATTTATACTAAAGGGCACTGTTGTTTCTCACAGGGGTATTGTGAGAGAAGAGTGGTGGAATCATTTTATTTAATAACCTTATGGAGGAAGAGGTTGTCATGTCTGAGAATGGTAGTTTTGAGTTTCATGATGACACTTTATCATCATCAGTTCAGATTAATGGTGTTCTTAAAGAGAATGAGAATCCAGATGTTGATTTTCTTGAGGATTTAGATTCTTACTGGGAGGATATAAATGATCGGTTAACTATCTCACGAGTCGTGAGTGATTCGATTATAAGGGGAATGATTACTGCAATTGAGTCTGATGCTGCTGAGAAGATAGCTCAGAAAGACCTTGAGTTGTCGAGAATTAAGGAGACTTTGCTTCTGTACCATGTGGGTTCTGAAGAAAATGAATCCTCTGAGTCTCGTTTGGTGCATGATAATAAGGGGGGTATGGACATTCAAGATGAACTTACTCAAGGATCTTTAAGCAGTCTTAAAAAAACAGCGAGAAAACAGTTGCTGATGCTCGTTGAAGAACTCACCAATTTGAGAGAGTATATTCACATCAATGTATCAGAAGCCACCGTGGGTTTAGACAGCCGTCATCATGAGACCAGGTCCAAAACTGTCGATAAAATGCTTGATTCCTTGAAGAGCATTCTAGAGACTGTGTTGAAGCGGAAGAATGATATGGAACTTCCCTCCTCGTGGCAGCAGGAGCATGATTTTCAAAAAGAAATTGAGTCTGCAGTGGTGACTAGTTTTGTTCGGAGTCTCAAGGATGAGTATGAACAGAGATTGTTGGACCAAAAAGCTGAATTTGGTGGTAATAGAAGTCTCATACTTGGAAATATCAGAGAGATTACTGGTCTGCGTCAGGAACTAGAGGCGATTCGTAAATCGTTTTTGGATCATGAAAATGGGGACGAGGCAGGGGAGGTAGGGGACCGGAAAAGAGTGGAGCAATTGCACCGCAAGATGTCGGGAAGCCTTAATTCAGTTTCTTCAGTTTGGGAAAATGGTAAGCATGAAGAGAGTTCTACTGGCTTAATGCCTGAGTATAATGAGGCTCTAAAACACATGTCACGAGATAATTTGATCAGTCACTTTAAGATCGAGATGAATAAAATGAAAAGAGACCATGATTATGAGATACAAGAGCTGACAGAGCAATGTTTTACCTTTAAGCGCAAGTATTTGAATTTAACGGAAAGGGGTTCTTTTTCTTTTATGGGGAAGGATAAGGAGCTAGAGGCGCTGAAAAAGAAGATCCCATTTGTCATCTCTAAATTGGATAAGATTTTGATGGAAGATGAAAAGTTGGTGTCTGAAGGCAAGAATGATGCTGATGTTAAGCGCAAACTGGAATCTCTTCTTCTGGAAAATCGTCAACTGAAAGATTCACTTTCAGACGCTGCTGAGAAGATGTCACAGCTTTCTCAGGCTACGGCAGATCATCTAGAGTTGATTCGAAAGCTCAAATCAGATGTTGAGGATTCTTGTGTTGAAGCTTCTATTTACAAAGATGTTTATGGGTGTTCTGTAACGGAGTTTCTGGGCCAGATTAAATGTGCAAAACAGGAGACAGATTTAGAGCATAGTATGTTGAGAGAAGCATATGAGTTGTTATTGGAAGATCTTGCTAAAGAAGCCCGTGAAAGCAAGGAGGAGTTTGAAGACTCTTGTGTCGAGTCCGTCATAATGGAAGAGTGTTGTTCAGTCATATACAAAGAAGCCGTCAAGGAAGCTCATAAGAAAATTGTAGAGTTGAACATGCATGTAACAGAAAAAGAAGGAACTCTGAGATCAGAGATGGTTGACAAGGAAAGACTGAAAGAGGAGATTCATATGCTGGGGTGTCTCGTCAAGGAGAAGGAGAATTTAGTCCAAACGGCGGAGAATAACTTGGCTACAGAGAGAAAGAAAGTCGAGGTAATCTCTCAACAGATTAACGATCTGCAATCTCAGGTAGAACAGCAAGAAACAGAAATTCAGGATAAAAGTGAAGCACTGAGAGTTGTTTCGGCACGCGAGTTAGAGAAAGTAGAAGGTTATGAGACGAAGATATCCAATTTGAGAGAAGAGCTAGAATTAGCAATAGAGAGTTTGAAGGAAATCAAAGATGAAAAAAGGAAAACCGAGGAGAAGTTATCAGCGACAAAAGCAGAGAAAGAGACACTTAAAAAGCAACTTGTGTCTCTGGACTTAGTCGTTCCTCCTAAATTGATAAAAGGGTTCGACATTCTAGAGGGTATGATAGCAGAAAAGATGCAAAAAACGAATTCTAGGTACTCTTTTTCTTTGTTTGCCTTCTGTACCTTTAGACATGGATATACAAGTACTTTATCCCTTGGTTCAACAGCATGAAGATAATAATTGTATGAGAACTTTCTTGGCTCTTAGGTTGAAAAACATGCAGAGTCAATTGAGTGATCTGTCACATCTAAACAATGAAGTCAAGGGGAAAGCATCGACGTACAGGCAACGACTGGAGAAGAAGTGTTGTGACCTTCAGAAGGCCGAGACTGAGGTGAGTCATGATTGTCCCCATCCAACGAATGTGTCTTTTATGCTTTATAAGCTTGTTACAATAACATGCGTTTGCGAATTGTGTCCATACCCTTTTTTAGTAGAAGAATAAACTGGTATTGGATTAAAAATGATGTTTATATGGTTGTTGAATCACAGGTTGATCTTCTTGGAGATGAGGTTGAAACTCTCTTGGATCTTCTTGAGAAAATATATATAGCTCTCGATCATTATTCTCCAATCCTAAAGCACTACCCTGGCGTAAGCACGATCTCTCTCTACACATATTTTGATTTTTTCCCATTTTGAGATTGATTTTTATGATCAGACTATACTTATGACTTTGCAGATCATTGAGATTTTGAGGCTTGTCCGGAGAGAACTTAGCGGAGAATCAAAGAGACAATCGGATTGATAAGTCGGATCTCTTTCACACTAGTTTATTTCTGTACAGATCTCTCAGGTTTATGTAATGTTGATGATGTTTAGTTTTTTTTCAGTAGATAGGTTTTGATAATGTACTGTCATGAATTCGAAAAATGTGATGTTTGATCACCGGATCTTTCAGTCTTAGAATACAATTGGATTACATACGTGAGAAATTTATAACATCTTATGATCGAACATATTGAACTTGAATATGATCTACCAAAGATACTGCAAGTGATCCATGATCAGATCATTCGCCCAAATTATCATAGGGATTAAGAAAGTGCAATATTCGGGACGGTTTAGATAAACCGAATTGCCCGCCGCAAAGTCTCCTAGACACAGGTTGCGGCCGCAGACATGTGTTGGCATATTGAAGGCGTGATTTGTGGAGCTAACGTGTCGTCGTCAGCATCATAGCACCGCTCCAATAAGCTTGCAATACTAACTCAAGCTTCAACATTTCATGATCTTTTTCTTCTTCGTTATTTGTTTAAGACAACACAAAAAAAAAAACTATCAAGCAATATAATGAAGAAGACCATCGAGGTTCTTTCTTTTGCCTTTTTTTCAATACCTTGATTCAATGCCTCGTGACTTTTCGTGTCGAAGCAAATTTAGTTTATTGATACCTACTTGCAGAATTCAACTCATATATAGGGGTGTCAAAATGGGTAACCCGACCCGACCCGACCCAAACTCATATGGGTTCGAGTGTTTAATGGACGGGTTTGACCCGACCCATATATTTATATGGGTTGAATTTACATACCCAAACCCATTATTGTAGAAATCCATTGGCTTAATGGGTTATATGGGTACCCATATATATGTATAATAAAATATATAAATAATAAAAATCCAAAAAAATAACATAAAATTGTAAACCAACAAAAGTTTTTAAATAATAAATTAAAAAAATCTAGATTTTATACATATATTTTACTTTTTACTTTTATTTTTAGGTAAAATGTAAACTTTAATAGTTATTTTAGATATTTTACATATATAGTTGTAAAGAAAAGAGATATTTTACATATATTTATATAAATTTTACATAATATATTAATATAGATATATATAAATTTTACTTTTTAGTTTTGGTTATGAAACTCATGGGTAACCCATGATCCTAATGGGTTTTACCCAACCCATAACCCTAATAGGGTAACCCACTAAAACCCATTTATATATATGGGTAAAAAAATTCTACCCAAACCCACTAAAATCATGGGCGGGTTCGGGTAACCCATGGGTATTAACCCATTTTGACACCCCTACTCATATATAGTCCCGAGGAAATACTTGTGCATGCAATCAAGGTAATCAATTATTGATTTGCACCATCAAAATATGGTCTTAGTGAATTTCTATTACGTAATAACTTTCTTTTTTACCCAGAAGCAAAGATCAGCTAGTGGAGATGTCAAGAATGCTGTGAAACTCATGGTACCACATCTCTTCATCTTTTGTGATCTATCTATCTATGATCTTTGACTTGATGAAAGTTGAATAGGACCAGGAAGAAGAGGATCTCTTACGTGTAGAAGAAGAAACACCTCATGATGCTGATAATGTTGTTGTTGTTGATGTTGATGTTGATGATAATGATGACAATGAGGAGGAAAATGGAAGATATTGTAGACGTGAGTTTGATCATGGATACCATCTAGTGAAAGGCCAAATGGGCCATGGCATGGAAGACTACATCGTGGCTGATACCAAAACCGTTAAAGGCCACAATCTTGGGTTATACGCTATATTCGACGGCCACTCAGGCCTTGATGTTGCGGATTATTTGCATAACCATCTATTTGATAACATATTGAGTCAGGTTTTAAAAACAAAAACTCTCTCATTCCCCTCTCAAGAATTTCTCACTCAACTTAAAGACTGTGTTGTTGTTTCATGAAGCCGGATTTTTGGAGAAACCCTAAGAAGGCAATCGAGAGAGCGTATAAATCTACGGACGACTACATTCTCCATAACGTAGTTGGTCCACGAGGTGGCTCCACCGCTGTGACGGCTATAGTAATTGATGGTAAGACAATTGTGGTTGCAAACGTTGGAGATTCAAGAGCAATCTTGTGTCGTGCAAGTGATGTAGTCAAACAAATTACGGTTGATCACGAACCTGACAAAGAAAGAGACCTTGTCAAGAGCAAAGGCGGCTTCGTCTTCCAAAAGCCAGGTCCCTTTTTTTGTGTCTCTTTATTAAGAAGAAAAGAAAAAACCAATCACCAATGTTACTTATAATGATTAGGTAATGTTCCGAGAGTGGATGGACAACTAGCAATGTCGCGTGCGTTTGGAGACGGAGGCCTTAAAGAACATGTAAGTGTGAGACCGAACATAGAGATTGTCGAGATCCACGATGACACAAAGTTCTTGATCTTGGCTAGCGATGGACTCTGGAAGGTTTCTATAAATGAATGGACTATTATTATATGAACAAAAAATCTTTATTACCCAAAGATTGGACTAAATCTTGATCGGTTTCTTTGTCAGGTGATGTCGAACGACGAGGTTTGGGATCAAATCAAAAAGAGAGGGAATGCAGCAGAAGCTGCGAAAACGCTAATTGATAAAGCGTTGGCCAGAGGAAGTAAAGATGATATCTCTTGTGTTGTTGTTTCTTTCCTTCAATCCATCGATTAGATGATTTATCTTATGTTTCTATTAGTGAATCACGGTTTAAGTAGTTTTTGGAAAGGAAAACAAACAGTGTTTCATACAATAATAAGTTCCGAGTCGAACCACTGTTACATATTGTTACAAAAATGTGTATAGTAGAATCACAAGGATTCAGGACTAGTGGAGGGTCTGATTCTGGAAGGCATTCTTAAGAGTCTGTCTCTTTCCATCTTGTTCTTGAAAGAGTGCTTAGGCGTTATGGACATTTTGTTCAGGGCATAGTCAAGATCAGCCTCGTCCCCTTCGTCACTGTCCTCATCTCCGTTCACGATCACCTCAGCATCAAAATCATCATCTTCTTCATCTTCGTCATAGGTCGCGCTCACCATTGACCAGTAGATGAAATTCCTGGAGATAAAGCTACAACACCAGCCAAGAAAATGCAGAAACAGAGTCAAGAACATTAACCTTTATTTAAGATACTTGCAAAAGAATCAGTGCAATGGTTTAAAGATAGTGATGAAACCTGTTTGAAGTTTTGAGCAAGCAAGGGTCAAATGGGAAGAACGTATCAAGCCTCTCACACCCGCCAAAAGCACGGGAGAGCTCAGACTCAAGTAGGTCATCGAAAATGAACGAGTCTGAGACGATGAACAGACCACCAGCTTTAGCTTGTCTAAGGAACTCCGCAACTACCGATGGAAGGCATACCTATTCTCAAAGCAGAATTCGCTTATCATGCATTTGATACATTGGAACACTTCCAAATAACAGTTGAGCTTATGTGAAGAAAAGAAAACTGACCCTCAATGGGTTTAGCTTGTGCATTAAAATTGACTCCAATGGTGTAAGCTGGGACCGAAGGCGAGGAACATCCAGAATGGACCTCATCCGGAAGCAGAGCACATACATGATTGCCTGTGGTCACAGAACAGATTCAAATGACAGTTTAAACAAATGTAACCACATTTTGGAATGACTCTTTGAAATTAAAACTCTAAAGGACAGGTCAAAAATATATTTTCGAGGATGAAATAGCAAAGGGATGATTGTAGAATTTTGTGACAGGAGGAGCCTGGGCTTGAAAGCTATATATACCTGACATCCGGAGAAGAAAATCTGATGTGCTTCAGGCCTAATATCATCATTGCAAGTTCTGCAGTAACCCACACACTCATCTATCAACCTAAAATTTTTGGACACAACAAAAACAATGTTACAAGTTACAACAAACTGAAGCTTCAATCAGATCAAATGATTATGTTTGAGGTAACATTTTGTAGAAATCACTTCCACCTTTTCAACATGCTAGCCACAAAGGAAACCGGCAAAAACTTTCCACGAGCCAAGAAGCTAGCAAGATAAGCCACCGCACTCATTCTGTGAAGGGGGAGAAACAAAAGCAGAACCCAAGTTTGTGATTAGAAAAATGCCAGAACATATCATGCAGCGAATGAGAAAATTTCAACCGAAGAGATACTTGCCTAGTAGATAGATGCTTGTTGCTGGAGAGAAAAATCTCCACCAGCTTACTTGCAAATTTCACACCACAATTTTCAGGATCCAGTGAGCAGGCATAGAACATCAGAAACTGCAGATGATATCGAAAGTGAGTATAAACCGAGACATCTCATGTCGACCATGCTAGAGTCTTGAAGAATGATGTCCATAATTATGCAAAATATGATAGCTATATGGACTACCTGGGTGAATTTTGATTTGTATGTGTTCAGAATGAAGTTCTCAAATGACTCCAAGAGGATTTCAAACACCTACGCCAAAATCATTAAAAAAAAATCAGAACTGCTAAGAAGATTCGCGAGTCCATCATTAAGGAAAGTTTAGATACATATGTCAATGAGGTCCCATTTGGTGCCATACCTGATCCAAACGACCATCATTTTGACAGGATTCAAGATGCTCAAAAGCTACGACCATTAATTTGTCCAACAACTTAGAGACTACACTTCCATCTGATGTATCCTGCTTTAGAGGTCCCACAGGAAGCTGCAATAGATAAATCAAGTCCACACTCTCATAGTCCAGTAAAAAGAATGTTCCTACTTTCTTGTTATCTAGCAACTTATAATCGATACCAAAAGAAAAAAAACAAACTTCGAGCCTACCTCGTCTCCTTCATTTATAGTGCCTTCAACTGGGTCTTCAAGTTCCATATCAAACATGTCATCTTGTGGAATATCATCCCATCCAATCTCTAACTACAAAGATACACCAGCATATCATTCACTCACCAATACCACACTACTTGCTGACCTCAATTATATAAACATATTCTGTCTACTTACATCCAAATCTCGCAGCCTCTCCATCACCACACCAAGAATCATGCTGCCACCAACTTGCCCGATTGGGCTATTCTCCAACTTTAATAAGCTCTCCACATATATCACTATCGACTGCAAGACGGGTAAGATAGTTTCTTTTGAGTTTATCGCCAGTATGAGCTTATGACTACATTGTCCGAAATTTACCAAAAAGAAAGACTCACATGGTCCTTTTTGTGTATTTTGGGCATTTCCTGGAAGAGCATTGGCACTAATCTTGAGGGAGTAAGAGGAACCAAAATAGATATTTTCAGAAGCGCTGCATGCACCCGAGAAAGAACTTCTATCTTCTTGTTTATTACACGGGGGTGCGAAAGATTATTTACTACCGAAGGAGGCGGAACGAAGTTGCTTACAAGCATATTCAGACAAGGGTCCAGATACTTTCCACGAGTGACAGCCTGTGATGAAAAAAGGCAAAACATAAATTGTCTAGCTCTTCATCTAGATTAATAACAAAAGGCGTAAGGGTAATTGTTGAGTTGTGTACCAGTGATATGACTAGGTTCACCAATGCATCCATGACAACAGGTCTGTGGTCCCACAATTTCATTCCAAAAAGCTAGACATAACAATTGGGATGAAATCCAGGGTAAGAAGTGGGAGGATCCATCTTAAACTAGTTAAATTGGAAGTAACTGTAAGCACCGATAAAAACTTACTGAAGAAAGAAGCTTTTGATGGTGAACGATATCTATGCAAGCCACAGAGCCTGACAGAGCCTTCAAGACTGTCTGCCAGTTGAATTGAAAAATGAAAATACTTTAGCAAACAGAAAAAAAAAAACACAAAGAGTGAATTGCCATACAAAGAATAGATCACACCTCAAGCTGCGCCACTGCATCAGGATCCTTAAATTCTCTGATGTCCTTGTTAATAACTCCAACAAGCTCACTGTAAAGGTCTGAGTCTCCCTGGCATTAGCAAAGAAACAATAAACTAGTATCAAGAAGCATAACACATATAGCATCAACATATATATGCAAACACATAAGCAGAGGAAAGAAGCAAGACTTGTACGAGACTCACAGTTTTGACAGATGTAAGGGCCTTTCTCACGGTCTGCACCAAATCTGTGTCAGATAAATCAACGTTGTCCACATAGTCCACTGTGTATAAGCTCGATGGATCACTTAAAAGCTCTACTGCTCCCATCCTCTCTGGACTTATGTAAATGGTGCTGCTACTTCAAATTGGTCAAAGTTCGGAACTTTCCTGATGGGAAAGAGAAGTAAAGATAAATCTCAAAACTTTCATCATTAACTTATACTCAAGGCACCAGAAACACTCAATTAAAGTCAAATTCGAAGAGCTATATAATAGACTATCGGCGGCGAAAATAGGGAAAAGAAGAGCTACGAGAATCGATGTAACCATCTAAAATCTCCATTGATTACAGCTTTTACAAGAGAAAACTAGTATAAGTACACAAAATACGACGGTGAGAGAACTCACAAGGATGAATAATTGAAAGGGGTTTTTGCTTCACGTAGCTCCGTCAGCTCAGCGAAACCCTTGTCACTGTCCCGTTCTGATAACTCCGGTCTTCGTTTTCCACTCCTTCGCTATGGTTTTTTGTTGAAGATGAAGAAGGAGCAGACTCTGATTGAAGACGGCGATAATCGAAAAATATAATGGAGACGTTAGGGTTCACACTTACTTTTTCCATTTTCTTTTAATCCCTGCGCTCTCTTTATTTAATTCTCACCTTATTATTATTTTTAATTTTTGTCGTCATTACATCAAATTTTGTTTTCTATGTTTCTGTCGTGTGACAATACTTTGATTGCTCACATAACCATAATTAAATACGACCAAACCAGATATATAAACCGAAACGAGAAAAGATTAGGACCAAAACACTCTCTCACAAATTAGTTTTTCATTACAATTTTTACACCCAAAACAATACCGTAAAACAACAGACAAAAGAGAGCAATCAAAGCCAGCGGATACGAAAAGAAAACAATATTCTTTTTTTTTTTGGGTACAAACTTAATTAAAGATCTAAAAATCTCAAGCATCGAGCTCAGCATCTTCATCCTCCTCTTCATACTCCTCCTCATCAGCTGTAGCATCCTGGTATTGCTGATACTCAGCCACAAGGTCGTTCATGTTGCTCTCTGCTTCCGTAAACTCCATCTCGTCCATTCCTTCTCCTGTGTACCAATGCAAGAAAGCTTTTCTCCTAAACATTGCCGTGAACTGCTCGCTCACCCGCCTGAACATCTCTTGAATCGAGGTTGAGTTACCGATAAAGGTGGATGCCATTGAGAGACCCTTTGGAGGAATGTCACAGACACTAGACTTGACATTGTTTGGGATCCATTCAACAAAGTATGAAGAGTTTTTGTTCTGGACATTGATCATCTGTTCGTCTACTTCTTTTGTGCTCATTTTGCCACGGAACATTGCTGATGCAGTCAAGTAACGTCCGTGTCTTGGGTCAGCAGCACACATCATGTTCTTAGCGTCCCACATTTGTTGAGTCAGTTCGGGCACTGATAGGGAACGGTATTGCTGAGAGCCACGGGATGTGAGAGGGGCAAAACCAACCATGAAGAAATGAAGACGCGGGAACGGGATTAGGTTGACTGCGAGCTTACGGAGGTCGGAGTTAAGCTGACCAGGGAAACGAAGACAGCATGTGACACCGCTCATTGTGGCAGAGATCAGGTGGTTTAGATCTCCAACTGCAAATGACCAGTGCAAAAACAGGTTACTTGTTACATGTAAGAAAAGCTAGATGGACTCAAAATAAAAATATATGTGACATTTTTTACTCTACAGAAATAAGATAGAAGTTTATGCGTGATTTAAAAAATCAAGTGTCAACCACTTTTTTGAACTAGTTTGTGACTTAGTGATAAGAAACGAGAATATTAGATTAGAATTATCATACAAGAGACAAAGAGAGGAGACCAACTCAACTAATACCACTAGTAATTGTTTATCAAGCTGAGAGGTCAATCTAAACTAGATTACTTTCATACATCATTTTCGAGTTATCACTTCTGATTCCTACGGTAAGACAAGGGCTTCAACGCAACTAGATGGAAAGAGAAAAAAAAAAAAAGACTTACAAGTTGGAGTGGCTAGCTTGAGGGTGCGGAAACAGATATCGTAAAGAGCTTCATTGTCCAAAACCATACATTCGTCAGCATTTTCGACAAGCTGATGCACAGAGAGAGTAGCATTATATGGCTCCACGACTGTGTCAGAGACTTTAGGAGATGGGAAAACTGAAAATGTGAGCATCATACGATCTGGATACTCTTCCCTTATCTTGGAGATGAGAAGAGTTCCCATTCCAGACCCAGTTCCTCCACCCAACGAGTGACAAACTTGAAACCCTATTCAAAAAAAATCACAACCATCTTCAAAATCATGGAACTAAGAGAAGAGACAAATATGTTTCTGAAAGATACAATTTCGTATTCCAATTGACAATCGAAAATCTAATCATCTCAATGCCACAGTGCCATAATCAATAGATCTATCTGTTTCTCATCATCACTACCATGAATCCTTAACTTAATTTGTTCAAATGTATCAATCAATAACAAGAACATCAAATCCATAGCTCTACACAATTCGAAAAGGTGACAAAGTGGAATTAAGCTTGGTTGATGAATAAACATGGAAATGAAGAGTGAGTGAGTCTTACCTTGTAAGCAGTCGCAATTCTCAGCTTCCTTTCTAACAACATCGAGCACGGAGTCAATCAATTCAGCTCCCTCAGTGTAATGACCTTTAGCCCAGTTGTTTCCGGCGCCGGATTGGCCGAAGACGAAGTTATCTGGCCGGAAAATCTGTCCGAAGGGGCCAGATCTGATGGAATCCATAGTTCCCGGCTCCAGATCCATAAGGACGGCGCGAGGTACGTACCTTCCACCGCTAGCTTCGTTGTAATAGACATTGATTCGCTCAAGCTGGAGATCGGCGTCGCCGTCGTACTTTCCCGTCGGATCAATCCCGTGCTCATTACAGATCACTTCCCAGAACTTAGCTCCGATTTGGTTGCCGCATTGACCACCTTGAATATGAAGGATTTCTCTCATTTTCCCGGGAAAATTTTCAAATGGAAACTGATTTTGGCTCGTGGAAGAGAAAACGAGAGAAACTCCAACCTAGGGTTTGTTTCTCTCGAGGACGGAGAAAAAAAAAATGAGTTTTTGCGGGAAAAAAACAACTTTGAAGGGTACCGATTAAATTGCGGATTGTCGCTAGTTATATACAAAGGGAAAAAAAGCCAAGGGGTATTTTTGGAAAATTACTTTGTTCATTATTGGTTTTTGTTTTTAGAAAAACAATATTTTGGTTGCTCTGTCTTGGAATGAGCTGTAATAGTGACTGTTCTGTAGAAGAGGATAAGATAGATTGATTACAAATTAATTTATTGTTACAAAAACCAGTTGTTGTGTGATCTTATCACACTTGAAACTACAACTAACTTAATCATTATGTTGTTTTTTTAATATGTTTATATAGTCTTAACCATTTTTTAAAAATTAACCAATTGTAGTTGAGAAAATTTGTTGGTGGTCATCACTATATGCCCTCTACTTCCATAGTTAGTTGAAAATATTCTACATACAAATTAAATAGTTCTATAATCAACCTGCCTATGGTTCATTTTGTTTTTTATATACAACATCATGTGTGAGTCTGTGACCACAGATTCCCACTTATAAGCTACATATGTTGACGATGGTTATTCGCTAATCCATTCAATTGCTACAGAAAAGATATACTAGCTTTGAAATATTGACTTACAAGTTACAACACACAAAACAAAACAATAGTCATGGATTAGCGAATAAAATTTGTATATAATTTTTTTTTTTTTTTTTTTTTTTTTTTTTTTTTTTTTTTGATAAACCCTATCGGCTGATCCGGTCGGCCTCGGTAGGAACGCACCGAGGTGCTACAGAGTGGACTTCTCCCGATCCATGTAGAATTGGGCCACCACACTGCCTGATCCGAGTTTGGAATGCCTTCCGACTAATGCCAGGGGGTAGTCAGACCGCCTGCATTTCTGACTACCAGGTAAACCAATTGGGCCAAAGCCCAACTGACAGACTTCCCAAACAAATGTGTTTTTGTTTGCAGGGAGAAGCGAAATTTGTATATAATTGTTATACAATATTTACTAAACAAACTGATAACGAATCAGCAGCAAATGTTTTAGTAACAGATTAAATTTTTGATTGTTGTTATTTCGAAAATTTAGTTTGTCTCACGTTGAAAACTATTATAATATGGAAAATGTCTACAGTATTTTGCTTATCTCGCGAGGAAAAGAAAACTGACTTGTCCAGCTAGTATCGGCATGGGAGATCAGCCGATCACCATTCACCGCATCAAAATTGGCAATCATCATTTTTTTTTAATATCAAATATACTCTCTTTTTTTGGCTAATACTATTAAACTTTTTTTACAATTGTGAAATGGAATCAAACAATTTTTGTCGAAAAGTGCTCACGAAACATTTGATTAACCATATAACCCGTGCACTACTTTCATCTCTATCTTCTGATTCTTTATGAAGGCTATTTAAGCTCTGTTGTCAAATCTCTAAGTTAGACATCAAAGACAAAGACAAAGACTTATCAAATGAGAAATGACATCACAACATTGGTCTAAATCTTCCACGTAATTTACAAAATAGCGAATAGTCTTTTCCAAAACTAATCTCTCAAACAAGAAATAGTAAAGCCATTGTGAACCAATGAAACGAAGTTTGTTTTAGTTGTATTTGGTTAATCTTGGATTTAAAGCATTAGAGAAATATTCTAGCTAGTTTCTTTAGCGAAAAAAATAATTATAATCAAAGACTCTTGACTGATGAAAAAAAAAAAAATCAAAGACTCTTGACTCTAGATAATGAACTAATGAAGCCAAGTCAATAGCAACTCTCTCTCTTCTCTCTTCCATATTTTCCAGAGAGAGAGTTGGCTGCCGTTCCTTACTTCCGCCGTCCGGAATTCTCTGGCAAGGCCGTCCAGTTGGTTTAACTGGCTTCAGCCCGACATCCACCGGCTTCTTATGCGGAGATGGTCGGCTTTCGTCCAGCAAATCCGGCTTTCCCAAGCGGTTTTGGCTGGTTTTGTATTTTCTTCCGCCGTGAATCGGTTTCATGCCGATTTCATTAGTCCTTTTTAGTTTATGTTTTAATAATCTCTCTGGATCTATGTTTGGTGGTGCCAATTCTGCGATTTCTCGCTCAACGGTGGTCTTCTCAGACTAGCTCCTTGGGTTTTGCTTTGGTTTATGTCTCCGGTGGTTTCCAATGAGGTTATGCGAAGTCTAATCCGGCCAGATCGGGTGGATTTGCTGCTTTCTCTCTTGGATGTTCTCAAACCGGTTCTTCAGATCTGTGGTTTACAACAAATCTTCATCAGTGATTACGTTCAAAGTAAAGACTTGTTTCCAGCATATTAAGATTGCCTGTAGCCGTTTCTACATGTAATTGAAGCTTCGATCGAGCAAATTTATGTGGATCAATCTGATTTCCCCTTTCTTGCTTTCGCCGGATATCAGTGTTTGGTGATTTGATAAGTGGATGGGGTTGAAATCTCTGTTATTGTATCCCTTCTCTCTGTTTATGCAGTCTCCGGTGAGAAACAACAAAAATTCGATGCTTAAACATTTTCCGGCGTCGATTGGGTTCACCGGAATCGGAGTAATTGACGGCAAATGATGACGGAAAGTTTCCACGATTTTCTTGCAACACGTTTCATCTACGTATCTGTGTGTTTGACACGTGTATTGAGCAAGATTTTATCCTTCTTTTAAGTGATGTATGTAATCGTTTGGGCCTTTAATGGGTTGTAACCTTTGTGATGTGGATTATAATAAACCAAATATTCAGTGAAAAAAAAAAAAAAAACTAATGAAGCCAAGTCTTAGGTTTGCTCACTTGACGCTGACCGCATAAGAGACCGCATCAAAAGTTTTAAAAAGCATAATGAGTTAATCATTTCAAATTTTATTACTCAATCAAAAAAATCAAAAGTATGATTATTATCTAGCTGCCACAATCTTCGAATTTAATATATTTATTCAAGAAGAGACCGACTTTAATGACTACTCATCCATAACTTTCTCATGGCTCTATAGAAAAATGATTAAAGTGGTCAATGAAATCTTTTGACATTGGTGTTCACTACAACCTAGTATTTAAATATCTTCTACTAATTAATAATACAAGTCTAAAATGTAATCTTCCGCACAATGTATGAGTAATTTCCTAGTTTTTATGTAAGTGAATTTTTGAGAAAAATCAAAACTGTGTGTAATGCAACGTGCAAATTTGGGAATCATAAGTGTTGTGACAAGTGACAAGACGAGCGTAGAACAGCTAATGTATGAAGAGAGCCAAAAGAGCAACAACCTGGCACAGCCGTTGGTTTTTTGAATATATTTACGATTCCGAGATCTAAGGCTTCTCTCTCAATCAACGGTCCAGATTCGATCTAGAAGATATATTACACCGACCCTGTTTCTCTATCAAATTCACACACACCAACAACGCAAACCTCGAAATAGGGCGATTCAATATCTCGGCGATTCTCTCTCGTTCGCCAGAGTCGCTGAGATCCTCCTGCTCTTCTTCTCCATCAGGTTTGTTTCTATTCTCTCTTGGTGTTTTATTGAATCCGTTTTTGTTTCCTTTCCTCAGATTTTTTTGGATTTCCATGGAATTGGATGTTGTTTAGTGTTTAGATCGGATTATTTTGCTGTTGTCTCTCGATAAACGAATCATATGTCTCTCGTAAACTTGATTACGCATTGTTGAAGGCTAATTTTTTGCTAAATTAAAAAATGTTGGACATTGGTGGTAGAAGAAAGGTGTTTTTTTTTTCTTGAACGTGAAACGTGAGCCTTATTGTTTTGTTTCTCACTGCAAGAATAGTGAATGGTTCAATGAAGACATAATAGTTCCCATTTTTCTCTAATTGGTTATAGGCTAAGAATCTTTTAGATTATTATGTGTGCAAACTCAATTAGGAACTGTGTGTTTTTTGTTTTGTTTTGTTGATGTTAACTTGTGAATTGCTTTCTTTGGATAATTAGTTGTATATATTTGATGCTTATTATGTATTTGGTGGTGGGTCCTTGGAGGAGAATGAGTTTAAGCCTTTAAGGAGCTGTGTCATACCTTCTATGTTTTTTAATGATTAGTATTTTTCTTTCATCTAATACTTGCTAGGAATACAATTTTTGGGATCAATTAACACCGAGTTATATAATTGGATAAGTGATTTTGGGTATGATTTAAAAGAGCAATAAAGTTAGTTATCTTGTCAAACAATAGACCCCTGTCGTTTTCTTAGTCATTTATGGAGTAATGCTTAAGATTTAGGCCTCTAATCTGGTTATGGTAGTGAAGAGGATCTGTACATTTAAATATACCACCTGTTGAAAATGACCTCAGGTGTTTCATTCATTATGTCACTATGCGTTTCTGTTCAAAATAGTTATAGTTGCAACGTATTTTTCTCTTGATCGTCTTTTTCATTTATTTTTTTAGATCAGTAAAGAGTCTGCAAAATGGTTGCTCAGGGATTCACTGTGGATCTTAAAAAGCCCCTTGTATTTCAGGTAAATACTGTTCCCGAAGATTTTTAGATAGTTTATGTCAACATTGGCTCGAGACCATAATCACCCCAAGATTGTCTTCGTTTCTTTCTTAGAGCTAATCAAAGTCTTAGTTCCCTTTTGAACCCCTCTTGCCACTTTGGATGTTTTACAGGTTGGTCATCTTGGAGAAGATTATGAGGAATGGGTTCACCAACCTATCGCAACCAAGGAAGGCCCTCGGTTTTTTCAGAGTGACTTTTGGGAGGTATGTATATATTTGTTTCATCTATTCTCATTCTCAATTTCCCATATAAAATTTTCAATAATAGGCATAGGCAATGTCAATAAGCCTCTGATCTCCATTCTCTGACATATTTGCAATGGAACAGTTCTTGACGCTTACAGTTTGGTGGGCAGTTCCTGTCATTTGGTTGCCAGTTGTAGTCTGGTGCATATCAATGTCAATAAGTATGGGCTGTTCGCTTCCAGAAATCGTCCCAATTGTTTTCATGGGAATATTTATCTGGACATTTTTTGAATACGTTCTTCACCGGTTCGTTTTCCACATAAAAACGAAGAGTTACTGGTTAGTCACTCTCCCTCTCTCTGTGTTACATTTCATATACACAGTACTCCCTATGAAGCCTCTTCAAACAGACAAATTTGTGGAAACTTAACTTCGTTCAGATGCTAATGAGTATGTGGAACCATTCCAGGGGAAATACTGCACACTATCTTATTCACGGATGCCATCATAAGCACCCCATGGACCACCTTCGACTCGTCTTTCCTCCTACTGCAACAGCGATTTTATGCTTTCCGGTATTCATCTACATTAACCCACCATTCTACCTGTTTTCACCGCCAAACCTTAAACCGTCTTCTTTTCTTGTGTCATAGTTTTGGAACATCGCGAAGGCAATCTCAACTCCTTCAACTGCACCTGCATTGTTTGGTGGAGGCATGCTCGGGTACGTGATGTACGATGTCACTCATTATTACCTTCACCATGCCCAACCTACTAGACCAGTGACCAAAAATCTCAAGGTAAAACAATGCCAAGTCTCGAAAACCCGGAGCTTTCTTTTCTTTTGTGTCCGGATCTCAGAATTGGTTAAAACCTGTGAACTTATCTTTAAGTTTTTCTTATGATTCTGCAGAAGTACCATTTGAATCATCACTTCAGGATTCAGGACAAAGGATTTGGTATAACTTCGTCGTTATGGGACATAGTATTTGGGACACTTCCCACTACAAAAGCCCCCAGAAAAGAGCAATAGAACTATTAAAAAGAAGATGTTTGTAATACATTTAATCTTAAGTTATTAATCATCCTTGTGAATTTTGAGATGTTTAATCTGAGGTTTCATTTGGATCACGGTCTTTTGTAGTTTGTAAATCAATCCTTCACAATCCTAATATAATATTTTTCAATCAAAATTTTTACCAACGTCTCTTCCTTGGGCCATATTTATCTCTTGAATTGAATATTCCAGACCCATTTACGGCAAAGGAATAAATAAAAAAATCGTTTATTGGGCTGGGCCTGGTTACAGAAATAAAATGAACACTCGCTCACCGACCCGCCCGGAGATCCAAATCTCTCGCGGTCTAATCTGACGCCTCGCTTCCTTCTTCTCAAACTCTGCACTCTTCCTTCTGCTCACTGAAAATTAGGGTTTAGGGTTTTTGATTTTCGTTGTCGATTAGGTTCTTCGACTGTGTCTCATGGCGTTGAATTTTCCATTTATGTGAGATTTTGTTCCCCAATCGGAGGAATTTTCCCGGCAATGGCGGCGGCCAATGCTCCACCTGAGCTGGCTTCAGGGAACCCTTGCTGCGTCGCGGTATGTATTTGTTTTTCACCCATTTATCGTGTTTAGTGGTTTTCTCAAAAGAATCTTATTTTCTTCTTCCTTTGATTGTGTTTCAGTGGCAAGGGAAGTACATAGGAATGAAGAAGAGGCGAGATGCTTTTAGAGAAGCCGTAACTCTTCTCCAGAAGGCCATAGCAGATGCTAGTGCTGAGAAATCCAATCTCGAGAAAAGTAAGTTCCTTTTACTACTAGTGGATTAGCTCGCTCTCTTTTGAAGTGTTGTGTTTCTGTTACTGATTAATTTTGTTATGGTACATGATCCCTTCATATATCGAGGTTAGCCATAAACGTTAGAGAAGATGCCACATGTCTTTCATTTGATGTAGCTAATTCTTCCAATTGATGATGCTTTGGCGATTATGATTTGATTATGATATTGTTGTGATTTTTAACTGATCAATCTAAATCCTACAGAACTTGGGGAGATGGGGGCTGACAGAGGCACTAAGGCAAATGATTCAACGGTAACAGCATCTTTGGAGAAAGAAATATCTGGTTTGAAGTCTGAGATATTGTCATTGCAACAACAATTGGAGCGGAACCTTAAAGAAAAAAGTGAAGAAACAAAGCTTCTTCAGGATCAAGCTTCTCGTCGAGAAAAGGAGATCAGTGAACTAAAGGATCTCCTTAAGAAAGAAACATTAAGGGCAGATAATTCTGAAGAAGAGAGGGAGCATGCTTTTAAGGAATTGAACAAGGCAAAGGCTCTGATAGTAAAAGATGAGGAGATCAAACCACATGTTCCTGAAGTGAGAAAGGAAATCAGTCTGGTTAAAAATCTTCTTGCAAGTGAGAGGCAGAAGACAGAGTCAGAGAGGAAGAAAGCAGAATCAGAGAAAAAGAAAGCTGATCAGTATCTTTCCGAGTTGGAGGTCTTAAGAACTTCGGCTCATAAGACTAGTTCTGATTTGCTTACTTTGACCTCCAATCTTGAGAATATAAAAAAGCAGCTTGAGCTTGAAAAACAAAAGACACTGAAAGAGAAAAAACGTGCAGATATGGAGAGTGCAAAAGCTAGGGACCAGATGAAGCTGGCAGAAGGATTGTCTAAGAAGTTTGAAATCGTTAAAGCAAGAAATGAAGATCTCATGAAAGAAATGGAATCGCAGAGTGCTAGTAGCAAAGTAAAATTTGCTGAAAACTCGAAAAAACTGGAAGAGAAGATAAGGCTCCTTGAGATGAATAAGAAAACAGCCATGGACTGGAAATCTCGTACTGATGATCTGACTCAGCAGTTACAAGAAGCGCAATTAGTGACTGAAGGTTTGAAGACACAAGTGCATGAGCTTTCACTTTCCCAAAAATCCATCAAGACTCACTCTATTTCTCCTCAGAGAGTCAGAGACCTGAAAAAGGCTGAAATGAGGCTGTTGAAAAAAAAGCTGAAGTTTGAGAGAAATTGTGCAAAACACTCTGAAACAGTGGCTAAATTTGAAAAATTTCGAAGGGAATTTCAGGGTGAAGAGCTAGGTCGGCTGAAACTGGAGTTTGGTAGTCTTACAAATCGCATGAATCTACTCAATGAGTATTTTTCAAGAGGCGTTGAAGGTACAGCTGGCCTTGAAAAGGTTTGTTTCTGCCATTATTTTTAACGTTATGCTTCCTTATCCTTTATTTGAAAATTGGCTTGATGACCATAGACATGTTAAGAAATTTGATACCTTCTGTTGTTACCGGTTATCAGACATTAGCTTACATGATGGATCTTTTGATGTTGACATGGTGGATGAAAAAAGAATCATGTTGTTTATTTTCAACTTCCTTAGAGAATATCTTAGGTTTACGTGTGTGGCTCAAAAATTCTCAATTTAGTTTATACAGTCACTTGAAGTTATCTGTTATCTGAGCATGAACGCTTGGGCTGTACTCTGTTGGAGTTCTTGAGTTTATTGTAATTAGTAACCTTGAATCTGACTAGAGAAGGTGGACTGAGAACCAAAACAATTGTTTAATCTTTACAATAGTGGCCACTATCTTAACGTGGATTATTTACAGCATCATACCACTTTTATACTTTGCTGTGTTTGACTATTTTAACTCCTTATTAGTCTCCTTATGTTCATCTTATTGCTATGCAGGCTACAGGATGCAGGAAACTGCAGACGCTACCATCACAGAAGAACCGTAATGGTGAAAAGCATTCTGACGCAAGATGCAATTTGGTAGCCAGCTCTGGTTCTCGGGAGCAGGCATGCAAGTTGTCTGCCCACTTAATTTCTAAATCTGGACGGGGCGTGAGTGAGTCTGGCTCAGGTACTATTTCTCAATTGGAGTCTCCTACTGGAGGCTCTAGAAAATTACAGAGTTCTGGAGTTATTTCCAGCGAAACATCTTTTTCTGATGGGCAGTTACTGGCCTCACAGGGAAGAGAGCAGTTCTCTGTTACGACTTCAGCAGAAATAGCAAAAGATAAACCGAATATCCAACCAACAAAATCAAGTATGTTCCAGAAAATCTCTGATACCAGTAAAAATGGAAATCTCTGTTTGGTGGCTGAAAACTATCTTCAAAGGCGTCAGAGAGATAGTCATGAGGTAGTTGATGAGAACTCTCGGAAAAGAAAAAGAATGTTAGAGGCAGTTGTGCCCCGTAAGCATTTGTCATCTGATGATAACAAGAAAAATTTGCAGATTGGAGAGAAGATGGGTACCTTGCAGTCGATGGTTTTAGGAACTGGGTCTAGGCCTTTAGAAAAGGAAGAAACCTTGGTCCCTGATAGGCAAGCTGGCTCCTTCGCAGTTTCCAAGAAAAGAAGGGTTTCTTGTAAGAAGAAGACAATTATACAGAATTCTCTTGAGTTCAACCAGTCAGGCAAGACTCCAGGTAATATAGCTGGGAAAACTACGTGCCTCTCTACTGCTAAAGGACATGACGCGACAACATTATTTCCGGAGAACGTTGCTACTACAGATTATATGAAGTTGCTAGAGTTAGATAACTTGGAAGAAGAAAATTATTACCAGATGGCTAGAGAGTCGCTTCTGTCCCCTGATCTTCCTCAGGTAGATTTTTTGGGTGTTGAGATCGTGAATGAGGACAAAAATCCTGCTAGGGCTCTTGACTTGGCTGCCAGTAATAGCATGTGTTTACGTGAGACCATACTTTCTAGTGAATCTCCTAGTCTCAACACTATGAATGATTTAGTGACAGTTAAAATGCCACCCATGTTGACACCGCTGCATGGGCATATTCTTAAACACTTTGTTGTGTTTTCAAATATTGAAGACCAGAAAAGTATCATCAAAATTTTCCATGCAACAAACAATTGTGTACAGCGATGCCCGTCAGTTACTAGAGAACAGTGGGCAGTGCCAGCGATTCTGTCTTCTTTGAAAATGGAAGAAAACCTTTTGGCCCGGTAAGTTATTCTGCTTTCTGATCCTTTTTCAGTGCATAGTGGTAAACTAATGTCTAGGCGCTAACATATACCTTTTTTTCTTTTCAGGGAAAGGGTCTGTGTGTTCCTCTCCTTGCTGCTGCATAACTTCTCCATGGTTCCCTCAACGAAAATTAGCAATACTCTGAATGTTGATTCTTTCTCCTGCTTGGATTCTTTCTCAAAGCATATATATGGAGGTATGCCCCAAAACCATTTTCCTTTTCTTTTTGTTCTCAAAACTAAATATTTCAATCTGCTTTTGATTTTATGTTTTAATTTATTGAACTTGTAATTTTCTGGTGTAGTTATGGCTGATACTGAAGCTGGAGTTATGCTTTCTGAATTTTCGGAAGAACTCCTTAGTCTTCTTCAGGACCTACTTTCTGCGCAGAGGGTGTTATTTTCTGTTAAACCCTCAGAAACATCTGAATCTGATTTAAGCATCCCTGTCACCCTGAATGGAGAAAATGTAACTCTCGTCAACAAAATCGCTCTAATTGATCATTTGGTGGCCGGAAGCACTATTTTGGCAGCAATATGTACTGCACTTGATCGTGTTGGATATATCTGCGAAGCTTCCTTTGAAATCCTGCACAAGTACAGTCATGAGAAGACCTCAGAGCTACTGACCATTCTTCACGTTTTTGCTTACATTGCTGGAGAGAAAATGGTGTTGTCTAGTGAGCATGACATATCAATTGCAGTGTTGAAATCCATTGTCATGTTTCTAGAAAACAAACATTTTGGTACTGTGGAGGACAATTCTCAGTTGCACCCAGGCAAGAACAAGTGTCCATTCTCAGACAGGTCTTCCTCGCTGGAGGCTATGGCATCGAAGCTCATGGAAATTCTTCAGGAGTTTACTCAGTCTAATACTTTGCATCAAACCTTGACTGGTTCATTGGGTTCTAGTCACCTAGAGAAGACCGAGTTTAGGCCGGCACACAAAGATTTCCAGTGTGTATTGACCAGGGATCAAAGTGTTAATCTCTGTGACATTCTGTCATTGGTGGAGCTTATTGCTTGTTATACGGTACGCATTTAAGAAATTTCATGAGCATTTCCAACCTTGACGCAATGTTTTGCTAATTTTTCCATTATCTATTGAACCAATTTGATTTTATATCTAAATGTAGGCATGGGATTGGACTAGTGCGAACATTGTTGCTCCACTGCTTAAGATACTGGGAATGCCATTGCCAATGAACCTCTCTGTTGCAATCGTCTCCCTTCTTGGGCAACTTAGCAGGTAATATTATTAAGTTCGTCTCTTATACAGGACCAGTCTGATGTAATATATCGAAAATCTAATCTTCTTTTCTTTTTTGGATTTTCCAGTATTGGAGTGGATGCTGGTGGCTATGAAAACAAAGGAATCTCAAACTTGAGAGCGAAACTGTCAGCATTTCTGCAGTGTGAGACGACACTAAAGGCCGGTTTTGCAGTGCAGATAGCAACTGTGAGCTCCCTCCTGAAGACGCTGCAGCTGAAGTTCCCAATAGATTTTCAAGACAAAACCACCATGATTCCGGGTAGTGGCAACCAAAGCTTATCTGGTTCAGTCAATGTGGTGACCAAGTGGTTGTCGTTGTTGAGCAATGAACAACGAGTTTTCGCTTTTGAGTTCTTACAAACCTCTGTTGTTAGATGATTCCTCAGTTCAAAAAGTCATCAAAAGCGGTAATTTTTTTGGAGATAGTCTCTTACTGTTTGATTCTTCATTGACTGATTCCTTTGGTTCTAGGATGCAGATATGAATGAAGATTGCATTGAGTTTCCAATTTTTTCTATTATTTAAAATTGGGGCTTTGTGTTTGTGGTGACATTAGTACAAAACAGTAAACGATGTGGCAAATTCAGAATCTTAAGCAAATATCTGTTTCAAAAACAAATTTTAACTTTTAAACAATAAATAAAGATTGTAATATCAAAACAGAAATATAAGGTATAGAATGCTCCCTAAGACAAAACCCAAATTCATATTATTTCTATATAATAGTATAAAACCCATTAACCAACTCACTCCAATCCATCAACCAATCTTTGTGGGAACACTTTGTTCATGCCTGAAGAAATTATCAGGATCAAACTCACCCTTAATCTTCACCAACCTCTCGAAATTCCCTTTGTAATACTTAGCACCCCACTCTCTAGCATCACTCTCTCCTTCATTCGTCCCCAAATCAAGATCCCTGTAATTCACATACGCCTGTCTCGGGTTATTCGACACATATTGCTCCATGTAACTATACATTTCCCTAATCCACTTCATATGCCTTTCCTCACTCACTTTCCCATCTTGCCACGTGCTTAGCCACTGAATCTTGAACAACGTCCCGTTTCTATGTGGGAAAGGTATCTCTGACTCGGAGATCCTCGACATCATTCCTCCGTAAGGGTTCCATATCGTTAACGGTGAATCTTCTTCTAGAAACCTTTCCCATAATCCTTCTAAACCTTCTACTGGAATTGGCTCTTTCACAAAGTCTGACTTGGCCTTGAAGTGATTCTTGAACAATGATTTTCCGGCTAGTAAAGCTTCTGGTGGTGCACTGTTTGGAAATCCTGCAATGTACATTACCGACTTGATCCAGCTCATCTCGGTGCAGTCCTTCTTCGTCAGTCCTAGCTCAGGGAAACTCTTCTGCATCACCTGTTAGGGTTGAAATTCTCATATTAAAAAGTTTATTGCTTGAATTGTAAAAACCAAAAAGATCAAAGAGTTCAAATTTAGACCCATAAGTTCGGATTCTAACACCTGCAAGAGCCGATTTGAGTCGCCGAGAAACTGAGCTTGGTACGACATCGAGATGGTTCGATTTCCCGGTTTGGTGGTTTTGCTCGCCGGCGAAATAATGACGCGAATAAAGAGATCATCGTCAAGCTTATCAGCGACTTGTTGCCATTTGTATAAAACTTTAGTTCCGTCTTGCTCAAGCGTCTTCGTGACTGTGAATACCGTAACGGTCGCCGGAACCGGGACGAGTTTGATCTTCCAGGCTAGGATTACGCCGAAGCTGCCGCCACCACCACCGCGAATCGCCCAGAAAACGTCTTCTCCCATCGCCGCGCGATCAAGGATCTGGCCGTTGGCGTCGACGATTCTGGCGTCGAGGACATTGTCAGCACCGAGACCGAACTTACGCATCATGGAACCGTACGCTCCGCCGACTAAGTGGCCGCCGATGCCAAGGCTGGAGCATAAACCGGCCGGAAAACCATGGGTTTGGCTTTTCTCTTGGATCCTGTTAACCGAGAAACAAAAACCGATTAATTACCGGATCATTGACCAAAGCTCAACCATGTGTTCGGTTTGATTTTATTTTGGTTAGGTTCCGACATTTGGTTAAACAGGTTTTCGGAACCGATTGAATCGACAAATCGAACATTTGTACATATGCAATAAATTATGTGTAAAGCAATATATACTAACTACAAATTTACAATGCGTTGTAACAAAAATAGGAAAAGCTAAGTCATCCTAATTTAACCGACGTTTTAAGGGAATCCACTAATAAAGTTAGCAAAAAAAAAGAAGTTTCCCCAAATGGCAATGGGTAAAGAAAAACGTAGCCGAAGACGTCAAAACTTACGTTACTGTTGGATATCAAAATATTGCCAAGTTGTACCAAATAAATCAGTAATATCATCTTTAAAATATGAATCATCTTCATAAAAAAATAAAGAATAATATGCCATAAAATATTTGGTGCTATGCTTCAATCTTTTCTTTACTATTAAAAATTCTGGCCAAGGAATTCATAGGTAAATACAATCATGCGTAAGCGTTACCTGTAATAAACCTCTCCAATGGTAGCACCAGCATGAGCCCACGCACTGTTACTGTCCAAATCAACGTCGACCTGTCTAAGCTTCGATAAATCAACGATCACAAACGGCGTCTCGTCCTCGGCTACGAACGAGAGCCCTTCGTAGTCGTGACCACCGCTACGTAGCCGGAGGTGAAGCTGAAGCTTCTTGGCACACACGACCGCTGCTTGGACATGCGTCTCGTACAAAGGCTCGAATATGAACACAGGCTTCGGGTTTGACGGCGTCAAGTAACGGAGATTCTGTGCCGTTGATTCAAGCTCTTCTTTAAACAAAGTTGCGTTTTGGTCCGGTGAGAAAAACGAGGCCGTTATAGGGAACGAGACGTCGGAGTTGTCGACAAGGCACTTCACGAAATCTTGTTGTAGCGTAGAGAAAGACAATGGAACGGAGACTAGTAGTAGCGTAACAAGAAACGCGGTTGCGTTTCGCTTTGATATCGCAAACGCCATTTTCTTTTGATGTAAATGAGGTTTTTGCTTTTGGTTGTTTGAGGTATGTGTTTAGGTTTATATAGGAGGTTGATGTGTGTGTGGGGATGGCTTACACGTAAAGTTGGTGTAAATATTACTTCATTACTATTTTTAATTTATTACTAAAATCTCAACTTTTATCTCGTTACTCTAATTAATTCTATCTTTATATTTTGATTACTTGAAAAATAAGGTTTTTCTTGGAGTTTATCCCTTAAGCATATAACCAAATATGTTTCGCCAACCAAAAAGAGAAAATTATAAAGAAATGAATTGTTAGAATATTCAAGTAATTGATTTGGTCAATTTCTTGCATTGTCCTTTACTTCATTGATATAATCTGAATCTTTACATGTAAATTTGATGTGAATACTGAATATTATATCATTAATTACTGAAATTGCAATACTGTAATGTTTATACCATTACTAAAGCTGTATCAGTTTAAAAATAATTCATTGCTATACAGTATACATGTATCATTATAATAACTTGATTATTTAAAACCCACACATTTCTTTGAATTCATTATCCAAGTATAATATAAGTGAATTCTCCCACATAGCCAAATAAAATGTTCCGTCGACCAAAAGAGAAACTGTTTGAATGTAACAACTATATAACTAATGGATAAATAATAACGCATAACTATTACTACTAAAGTTTTGTGTGTACGTATATCTATATTAGTGATTATTCAGACATATTGTTGTTATATAGCAAAAGTTTCTGAAGAGATAAATGTCGTTTGAAAGTAAGGAACAATATATATGTGCCTTTAGGGATAAACAATGTTAGTAATACGCACTAATTTCAACTTTTCAAGGATACCGACACGACTGTTTATCACATCTAAAGACAGCGACACCACTATCTTCAGTAATTGTGGCGTGAAGCCTAAACACATTCTCTTCTGTCCTTGAATTAATAATCTCCCTTGTTAACCGTTACCTTTTTGACTAGGCAATCTAAAAATCTACACATACACCGTACACTTTATGATCTCGACAACATTGACGAACCAGTTAGTAAAAAGAGTAATTGTAACTACAAATATTTTTATTTTAAAAAATTACGGTCTTCAATGTTTACTAATTTTTATATTTGTTTTTGGTCTTGATTGGTATGACACAAAAATAACAAAATAACTGAATAATTTTTGAATCAATTATGGATTTGCCATTTTTTTTTATAGCATTTGTGGATTTTGCCCTTTTTTGAATAGTTTATGGATTTTGCCCTTTTTCAGGCTACGGAAATATGATTTAACATGCGTTTTATTCGTTATGTTTGGGTTTAGTCGGTTGTGGTTGTTCTTAGGGTTTAGTATTTTGTATAAACTACGTATTTTTACCAAAAAAAATCCGAAATACGTACATTTTTAAGTGTTAGAAAATGGCATATCCGTAAGATTTTAGTAAAAATGGCAATTTTAAAAGATTTCTATGAAAAATGGCAAAATCAACAATAATCCCATAATTTTTAGCAGAAAAAACTGAATTAAAAGAAGTTTTTGTAGAATAATTACAAATGCTGAAAAGTTAGTTTTAGTAGGTTAATGACGTTTTGATTTTTCTACTTATATTTTTAACACACTCATTTTTTTTTGACGTGAAAATTTGATGAGGATTATGAATGGTAAAAACTAGCGGAATCAAGTTTTCAAAACGTAAAAATATAAACAAGTAGCATACCATTCATCCCTTTACATTCTATCCATTCAAGCTTTTTTAAAAGTGGTTTCCCTTAAAAACAACAAAAATCGTGTTTTTCAAAGATTTTAACAATTTTTAATGGCAATCCAAAAACCATCTTATGTGAGTTTTTCGCTTTTCCTAAACAATTTCAACATGACAATTTTTCATGTTTATTTACTTTTTATATCTTTATTTTTGCAATATCTGAAAACCAAAAATCAAAATCTAAAATTCAAAAACCAAATACTATAATCTAAAAACTATGTAAAAGTCCACAACTATACATGATCTACAAATATTTTTAGTTTCTTTATAAATGTAAAACGTGAATGGTCTCAATTTCAGCCTCACTAGAATCAATATTACCACCTTTATTTTATTTTTTGTTTTTGCTGGTATTAAAAACCGCTACTGTTGGCTAGTAATCTGGATTAATTTGGCTTCGATTTGGGTGAACGAATTATTGCCAAAGTGGTGTGATTGATGGTAGTCTGAGCTATGTAGCTTAAAAGCAACAAAGTGAGATTGTCTAAAGATTATGCAATAAGGCCATGCGCAATGGCGCATTTTCTCACCGGGTGTGACCATTAAAGTAATCGAAAATAAGAGAAAAGTTATCTCTCTCCTCACACCCGGGTGTAACTTTACACTCGGGTGTAAGACACTCTCTCTCTTTCTCTCTCTTTCTTTCTCTCTCTCTTTTATCTCTCTCTTTAAATTATAATAATAAAAAAAATTTCACACCCACACTAACACTTACCCGACTGTGGATGCT